ATCAGTGCAACCTGAGCTTTCCAACACAACTCTCCTGTTGCCTGCACAATGATCTCAGCCACCCTCCTCCTACTGACGAGCTCATTCCTGCCGTATTGCTCCAGTCCTTTGCAAACATGCTTAATAACCCCAATCCAAATTCAGGGGAAGCAAACCAAGCAGCACTCAAAATTATACAAATGAGGTAAATATTGCTACAGTTCCTCTTTCCTTGTGAGTAATCACATGGTTTCTATCTGCGTAATGAAACTTTTGCTCCATTTATGCTCAAAGAAATTACTGGAGTTACTTAAAGGAAACCACTTGCTTTGACATTTGAGTTAAAAACAGACTGGGTATAAAGTGGGAGTTGGAATGCCAAGAATGTAGTTGACCAAGAATGTATAAAAGAATGTTCTGTTTTAAGGAAATAAGCGAAGGAGTGTTCCTTAACTTGATAGTAATTCAAGAATTTATCTCCAAGAGACACAGGCTCCCTGGCACTGAAAGAATTCCAGAGTATATCCATGATTCCAAAGCGCATTGTTAAGTTTCATAACATAGTATCATGAGTCCCACGAAATGGAATACGGGATGCTTTTGTATGTATGTTTTAGCACAGGGCTACTACTGAATCTTGTCATAAGCCACATATTTCATTTCTGTGCTGACTTTCTGTTGCTGAATCCTTCTGGGGCAAGGCAACCAATTTTAGTAGCTAATCTTACAGAATGAATCAGAATGCCGTTCAATCCACGGAGAATTGGGTACCTTCGGGCACTCCAAAATTAGGGAGGATTCCTTTAATAAACATTTTGCAGACTTTCCTTCATAGGGTCGCCATAAGTTTGAGATGACCTGACAGCACATAGCTACCTTTTCTAATTTCATTGGTGAAAGAAGAGCCAAAGCCTAGCCCATGATATATGGTGATGCATTTTATTAGCCAACTTTATAACTACTATGTTTTTAAACAGATTTAAAACCCAGCAGTGTCATAAGAGTTGTCTGCCTCTTCTTTGATAGATGCTAAAAAAACATTGGCTTGGATTGCACTTGCCTCCAGCAGGTCTTACAGGAGCCCGTCAGATAAGCAACATTTCTGTGATTTGATTTTTTAACAGGTTATTCAGTAATCCTGATATCCAGAGTCAAAGTTTACCTTAAGCAGTGAACTGTTATAGGCTAAGCTGACAAGGCCACTTGTAACATCCGAGCAGCTGAAGCTGAGCAACGAAGCCAATAGCAAACTCCTAGTTCAGGCCTAGTTCACTCAGGTTTAGGCTGCATTCCTTCAGCCTGCAACTAGTGTTTCAAACAGTTTAATGTCCTACTGCAAATTAACGAGTCCTAGCCAAAGAAAACTCAAGTCCCAGACTGAATATCAAGCAAAAGAATCATGTTTAGTTTTCCAAATGCAGACAATTTGTGGATGGGGGAATACTGCTATGAGACTCACTTACAGACTTAAGGGCACATCCTAGGTACAGAATTACCACCATCTCAATTGCAAAAAAAAAAAAAAACCAACAACAAAACGCAGCAGTGATATCAGATCAGCCAAGGACATCAAGACAAGCCGAGAAGGCAAAGGAGGACAAATCAGAAGAGAGGAGGAGATGGGCAGCATGAGATCACCAGGGAGCAATTCAGTGATGCTTAGAGCCCTAATAAAATGTACTCATGTGTTCTGAATTTCTTATCATGCAATGAAGCTAATATTCCATCTCCTATGCAAAGGCATTTTTTCCACTTGCTTGCAAGCTGTTTTTTTTCGCCTCCTCACCATCATCCGCTGAAAACTATTATCTCATTTTTGAACATGCTGCCTACCTATAATTTGAAATAGTCACCAATCATCAAAGAGGGAGCCCTTGCTTCTCTTTGAAAGGTGTAATTATCTAAGGCTTGGTTCTGGCATTGCTGCAGAGAAGATATATCATCCATTAAGTAACTGAAACTGTGATTGCGTTGCTACTTCCAGAGATGCTTAAGCAAGGAAGGGAAAGCTTAGAATGTTTGTAGCACTGCTATTTGCTCTTATGGGTGGTTTAGAATTTATACCACGGCTGTATTATTTAAATGCATTTTCATTAGGTGAACAGTTCTGAAACCTCACATCTGAGTGAGTTACAAAACTCATGCTGACAAACAGTGCTAAAAAGAATTACACAGTTAAATTGTATATTATCATGTAAATGGCGAAGGAACACCACATGGGACTCTGTGCATTGTGCTGAGTGATAAAAAGCTGTGGGCTATAAATAAAGAATTGAATAAAGAACCCTGTCAGTTGAAGCAGGGAAGAGAAAGAGCCTTCTAGGGCAGTTGTGAGGTTTGAGAACAATACTTAGTTAACAGCCCCATGTATTTGGAAGTCCAGCATCTAACATTTGTAAAAGTGCCATTGTGTTCTTGGTCTTGTGACAATTCAAACCAGCTTCCTCACATGAAATACTGTTATGAGGAAGAATGCAATTCACTGGCAATGAAACATGTAGTAGTTTAGGATATACCCAAGCTCAAAATGATTTAAACTGCATTTGTGCATCTGGTATCTTGAGAATACACTTCAGATTTCAGTTTACAAAAAGTAACATTCCCCCAGATGTGACAGATTACATTCCTCTCTGATAAGCACCTAAAGTTGGGGGGGGGGGGATTAAGCTGTTTATTTCATCCCCTGCCTTCTCAATTTATAAAGGATAAATGGTTAAACACTGGCCGTCTACTCTGAAGCATAGATCCCAACCTCCTCAGCTAGCTCAAAGATGTCAAAGTATCTGAGACCCAATCCAGCTCGAGTCTGCTTGTTGGTTTGCACAAAGACATACATGCCGGTGTGTTTCTCAAGACATATCCACACACCCCTCCCCGCACAGAGATCCAGAAGGGGGTGATGATGCTGATGGAGAGACACATTGAAGAATGCTTCTAGTAACAAATCTCTTGCTGGATTGGGGCGCTGAACCTCAGCAAAGGTTATAATACATTTTATTTCAGTTTCTGTAACTGCTCCCACCAGGGTCAACGTTGAAACTGAACTAAAATGAAATTCTAAATGATTTTGGCACAGACAACAAGGTAAGGCTTTTCCATGTGTTATTAGTTTCCCAGAAACCAAAATGGAAAAGGAATTAACAGCGGCTGAATATGGCAAATGCTCCCGGAGATGCTCTTCTGTGGTCTTGGGTACTGCTGTAGCAGGTTTTTTGTTTTGTTTTACCAATGTGAGAAGCAGCCAGCAGGGGTAGCCTGTATTGAAACTTGAACTTCGAGTCAGTTTTTCCCCTAAAGAAACAATGCTTTTCCTAAAAATGTGGAGAGATACTTATTCAGTTCAGCAGTGGTAGCAAGATGTTGTATGTGTTAAGTGTCCCTTGGTCCACAGGCAGTTTTGCATGATGAAAGGCAAAGAGTCTAAAAAAAAAGTTTAAAGTCCCATACTAATGTATGGAATAGTTTTATATCGCTAACAGTATTGGAATCAATAAAGAGTAATGTTCAATAAATATTACTTCATAAAGATGAAAACTAGAACCTTGAGCACAAAAAGGGAAAACATTAGCACACTTTTACTGAAATATCAATTTCTTTAGTATGTTACAGAACAGCTGAAGAACATACATCATGTACCTAAAATGCAGACATTTTTTTAAAATAAAAAGGTCTTTTTATAAAAAAATAAGAAAAGTCAAAGTAAAGTGCATGAAACTGTTCCCCCCGCTCCAGATTAATGCATCAAAATTCTACTACACTGACAATACTATAAACCTGGGAATCTTTTTTCCTTTGTCACCCCATTAGTCAATTATTTTTCTGTACAGTAGTGATTACATATAAAACAGACACACAGAAAAACCAGTAAATTCTGCCAAATGTTTTTCACTGGTCAAGGTTAAGAGCTCCTGGAAAAGGGGCTTTGTCTGCCCTCCCCTCATTAACTTTTGACATTGTCTATGTCCATCCTTGCTGGGGGGAATTCACAAGAAAAAGCAGTTTCATAAATGGGGCAGGCCCAACTTATGGTATTAGTTACTGGATTACAAATGTCATTCAAATGGAAAATTGTTTCTTTAAAAAAACAAAATATAGCCAGGAAATATGTCCCTTCCAACTATGGTCCCTTCCAACTATGGCAACAGCATCTGCACACCGTCTTTTTACAAAGTGAATTTTTAAGGGAAGCTCTGAAGAGCCATTAAAGGGGAAGACACGCTGGACAGAGAAACCCACTGTGAAACTAATACAGTGAGATATATAGCACTTAAAATACATATGTATTGTAATTATACCTTGATTTTACAAGGGCTCCCGGGGTTCTGTCATCCAAGGGACGAATCACCCATTTAGCTTCAGCAGTGGTAAGCTGAGCACCAAGTCCTCCCAAGCCCAGCCACAGGGTCCTTCGAACCATTTTAAACATTAACAAATTACTTCTGACAATAGAACTGTGCAAGAGAATGTTTTCTGCCTAGTCTTAAAACAGACAATAGCGCAGAGCAGGTGCACCTAAATGCTGAAAAAGGGTTGATTAGTTCATTTTTAGTGCACCCCTCCCAAGTGTCTAATTCTACTCAGCTCTCATTTCTGGACAGGGTGTGAAGTTGGCAGCCCTGGTCGTGGAAGGCTCAGCCAGGGGTTTCACTTCTGGCCTTGAACTTGAGACTGTGAATGTCAAACAAAGGAAGACCACATTCTGCTGATGGATCCCAGTAATAAAATGTCTGGAACCATGAACCGGTTAGTCTACTGGCTGCCCCCTCCCAGCCCTTAGCACACACTCTCAACAGTGTTCAGTTTTAGCTGGGCTTGCAACGAAATTCCTATGCAAGGTTTTCCTTTGATTAGAGGTTCGTGCCAACCACCTCCCACTGAGCTCCAGCATTCATTTCCTTCAGGGGTGCGGCACCACAGGGATGTTAAGTGTGCGTGTGTGCGGGGGATTAGGATTCCTCCTCTGCCCCTTGACTATACTTGGCAGCCCTGTAAATCCAGCGGGTTCAGCCAAGCAACGACTATCAAAGCGCGGAGGCCTTGGCTTTGCAGTGCAAAATGTGCTTGTGGACAAAGTCGATGCGCTCTTGGAGCAGCTGGGCTTGCTGGTCGGAAAGGAAGCCAAGCAGCTCGGCCAGGGGCTCCTGAGTCCGGTACAGCCTGAGCAGCTCGGAGGCAGCGTTGCGCAGGTGGTGCAAGTCCCGCACTCGCTGGGCGGTGGCCTCGCGGAAGACGCAGACAGAGCGCAGCAGCGGCTCGTTGTACTTGTCCCACATGGCCAGCAGCCGGTAGCCGTGCACCAGGCCGGCCTCGTTGTCGAGGAAGACCAGCCCCCCGTTGGGGGCTCGGTGCAGGTTACTGGTGGCGCGATGCATCACGCGCGGGTCCCACTGCAGGCTGAACAGGTTGCTGACCAGCCGGTCGAAGTTAGCAGTCAGGTAGTCGAAGAGGATCAAGTCACTCCACTGCACCAGTTCCACCAGCTGCGCCGGGCCAAGGCCTTGCAGCTCCCCCGCCGCCAGGGGCTGCAGCCTCCTGCCCCCCGCCGCCGCCCCTGCCTCGGCTCGCCAGGGGGCGGGGGCCACCACGTCGGTGAGATTGTCCACCCACTGCGCGAGGCTCACCACGGCGCCCTCGGCCCAGTGCGAGCCCCGCACCTCGTCGCGCACTTGCGCCCACTGCCCGCCGCGGGCGTCCACCCGGGAGAGCGCCAGCGGCGGCAAGCGCTCTTGCATGCCCAGCAGTCCGGCGAGGTGGTAGGAAAGCGCCTCGCCCTGGATCTGCTCGGGGTTGATGCCGTAGCGCACACACGCGCGGCTCCCGTCCGACAGCCGGGCCAGCCGGTTGGAGCTGCGGCCGCAGCCGCCTCGCTCTAGCGACACGACGCGCGCCTCCCGGGCCGCCCGCAGCCACGAGGCCGCTTCCTTGGCGGAAAAGCCCGGCGGCACCTGAGCCTCCAGCGCCCTGCTCCAAAAGATCCCACCGCGCACGGGCGAGGGGGGAAGCTGCTCCGCGACTCCCATCGTTCCTTGCTTTCCCCAACGAGGATGATCCGAAGGAGGCAGCGGCGGCGGCTCCTGCCCGCTTTCGCCCGGTCCCTCCTGAGGCTCCGTGGACTGCCTCGGCAGCGTGAGCAGCGCTCGGAAAGTTTTCTGGGCGGCTTGACTTGGAGGACGGCGGAGGAAATGACTTGTACCCGCCGCGGCTGCCTCGCCACCTCCGAGCCCCGATTCCAATGCCTCCTGCGGGAACCGGGATCCGATGCGTCCCGGCTCCTCAATCCGTCCGCTCCACAGCCCCACCAGGGAAGCCAAAGCCAGCAGCCAGAGCACGGCCACGGAGCCCAGCCCGGCCAGACCCGCTCGTTGCATTCTCCTCCCGCGGCTGGTTGCTGGGCTTGGGTTGCTGCCGCGGTCTCAGTCCGCTGCTCCGGGACACGGCGGCGTTGCAGCCCCGCGGCTCTCCCGATCGGGGCTCCTTTCACTCATGGTGGCTGCAGCTGCCGGTTTGCGGCACTGGGAGTAACGGGCTGTCTAAGAAAGCTGGGCTGAAGATCCGGTAACGCGGACAGCTCTTCTCCGGACGGATGCCCCTGTCTCAGCGCCGGGACCGGTGTCTGCGCTGAGACCCTCCAGCGATTGAAATTCACAAGCACCGAAACCACGTGGGGGAGCACAGGGACCCAGCCCACCGCCCAGCATGGTTTCCCTCTTAAAGCGGCGATGTCCCGGGAACGGGTGGGTCCCTGGTTGAGGGCGGCCTCCTGCAGGGGCGCTGGCATGAATTCGGGGCGCCCTCCGATCTTTCCGAGGGCCACGGCCGCTCTCCGCTACCCCGGCCCTTCGCCCTCAGCGGTGATCAACAGCATCTCTGAGGAGGGAAGGGGACCGGCGCCCGAACGCCTCGACTGCGCCGCCCTCCTCCCACCCGCTTTGGGAAGCACAAAGGATTCAGCACGTTTAGAATAAAAGATGGGAGCGAGGGAGGCACTTTGTTCCAGCGCTTTCAAAGCGCGCTCGTTCAGTTCGAGCGGGGGCAGAGCCCTGTAGGAGCGTGCAGTGGTGGGGTAAAAAAAAATAAAAAATGAAGATCTGGACGCTCGTCTTCCCGCTATTAATGAAGTAATTATCGAAGGTTGCATAAGGACCTTGAACCCTTAAATCCAGACTAAGAGTTTCTGTGCAACTCAAGGCATAGTTGGGCTCTTCCTCCGCTCATATTACACAAAAGAAAGGGCATCGTCTGAACTGGTACAGACACCGCGCAGCTTCGAGTATTGTGGTGACTTTGCCCAGTGGTGCTGGTTCTAGTAAGTGTATTTCTTTCGGATTGCAGGGTTGAACAGACAGCAGCCCTAATCCCTTTCCATAGACCATGAGGCGTATTTAGGATGCAGCAGAGGCGCCTTCATTAGCGGGATGCTTGCAATCCACTCTCGAGGAACCACCTCCCCCTTACGCACGAGGAAAGCGCAGGTGTAAAACTACCGCCAGTAGGCCCGGAAACGGGGCGTGGCAAGTCGGAAGAAGCGACGGATCCGCCGGGTGCGCGGTTGCTCAAGTTGGGATCGGTGGAATCCAGTTTCCTCTGGTCCCTGGCTGGGACGGGACGTGGGTTTCCCACCGGTTTGCTGCACTGACCTAGCAGGACAGGACTTAGGAACGTCCCCGCCCCCCGCCCGCTTTTAGGATTGTCGTGTTAATTCTGAGTAAACTTGCACAGTGAACATCTGTTAGGATCCTATTCGCAGGACAGCCTTGCCTTCAATCGCTCTGAAATGTAGTCCTGGGCAAGGGACGCGATATGATTCAAGTACTATAGTTATACCGTTCTCCCCGCAGGTCTGTTAATTCTCTCAGCTCCGTCCCCGCGCAGTTTGGTTCTTCAGTATGATTTAATATGTTTGTATTTTTTACAAGCCTTTATGGTTTAATTTTAACTGTAAACTGCCCAGACACTCTTGGTTATTGGCTGATATAGAAATACTACAAGCAAGTGCATAGATACCAATGTGGTGTAGTGGTTAAGTGGGACTGGAACTCAGGCAATCTGGGTTCTGGTCCTGCTCAGCCATGGAGCTAGCTGGGCCTGACCTACCTCACAGGGTTGTCATTCTGGGGATAAGATTGAAAGTAGTGGGAGGAGAATGATGTAATCTACCTTGCGGGATAGAAATCTAATAAAGAAAATAAATATATAATTGCAGTGTTTCATTTATATTTCAATAGGGTTAATGCTCATAAAACTATGCATTAGGTAAGTATGTTCATCTCACTAGGTTAGACGGTTTAAATCTAACCTAGATTCTTCCAGTGTCGATATTTTCTTCTCTTGCTGCTGCATACTGGGAGCAAAAAACAAATTAGAACTAATAAGAAGTGATGGCAGCAGCCAGGTTTTTTTTCCTTTACCAGCTCAATAGCAACTACACTGTGATAATCAGAAGTTAGTCCTGCTGCATTCCTTGTAATCCTACACATGCTTAGACAGAAAAACGCCTACAACACATAACATGCTCCAGCCAGCCATTATGAAGAGGCATGCTAGGACTTGTAGAACTATTTTGTTCTGCACCATTACTTAAAAAAAGAAAGTATATGATGGATTTCAGCTTTAGAGGACAATCTTGAAATTGTTAGGGATGAAACAGCTTTTTTAAAAAAAATCAATTCCACTTTCATTTTAAGTTTAATCCTTCTTTGCTTCTGATTTCATATCCCACCTAGACTTGAAGATCATGACACGTAAATTACCATTCTGGCATTATTAACTTCATAAGTCTTTTGAATTGACTCTGTAAAGGAAGCCACAGTTTTGAATTTACAAGAGCTGAGCCATCCTGTCAAGGACAGGACATTTTGGAGAGTGTGCCTTCCTAGGCTGGCTAAGTCAGAGATAACCTGGCAGCACATAACAGAAAAAAGCATGTCTTTTGGGAATACTTGAGAATCATGTCTTTAGAATGAGCCAGTGTGGGAGGGTGTTGGACTGGAGACCTGAGTGATTCAGGTTCTAGTCCCTACTTGGGCGTGAGCTTCAATGGGTGACATTGGGCCTGTCAGTCACTCTCAGCCTAGCCTACCTCATAGGGTTGTTTTTAGGATAAAATGGAGTTGTGTTAGCAGCCTTGGGTTCTTTGCAAGAGGAAAGAAGACAAGGTATAAGTGCAGTGTGATGATGATGAAGAAGGAAAGGCTGGACATGCACATGGTAGGCATGTCATGAGCAGAGCTGGCTGGAGCTGGGGGTCAGACTACATGGCCTGGGAGGCTTCTTCTGACTCATCATGTTTCTATGATGACACGACACATGTGTGAAGAATGGGTAATAAAGCAGGGATTCAGACCCTTAGGTCCAGGGGTCAAATCTGGATCCCAGATCTAGTCTTCTGGAATGTCCTAGATGTCTCCTACCCTTTCCCTAGCCCTACTCCTCTTTTTCAACAACCCATCATTCAGTGATTTTCCAGGTTTTATATAGTTCTTTCCCTGTTCTCAAAGGATGAAATGCCTCTCTGAGGCACTATGGGTAATAAAAACATTAAGTTACTATATTCTGATATTTTGACCTGAGTTCTTTTGCTCAGCCACTAGAATGTGTCCCCAGAGAGCTTCTCCAAAATGGAATCTGGCCCCCAGGCTAAAGGGGGTTTATTTATTTATTTAAAACATTTCTGTGCCGCCCCCATCGCAACAAAGCCTTGGGGTGGCTCACAAAGAATACATAAATACATAAATAATGTTAATATAACAATTAAAAAAAAAGGTTCCACATGCTTGTCCTAGTGCACTGCTGTGTGAAGGATGGAGAATACCTTTATTCATTTTATTTCTATACTGCCCAATAGCTGAAGCCCAGGGGTAAAAATAGGCCAGTTTGCATGGGTTAAGTTACCAACATGGAACTGGCCACCATTATGAATATACAAGTCCTAACTAGGACTTGCTATGAATTGTCATCTAAACCTGGGGCAGGTGTTATTTGATGAGCACATAACCCTCACATGACATTAACATAGACCATGGGCTATGCGTGGGTTCTTAAACCCATGCGGTACCTCTGCTGCCCAAGTTCAGATGACAGAACAAGCCATGACACTCCCCAGCTGGAGCTTGCAAATTCATGATTGTAGAGAGCACTATGACACCCCATGATGAACTCTCCTGTCATTTGAATATTGCTTCTAGGCTACATTCTGCTAATTAACTATAAAGAACCTTCCAAGGGTTAACTGATTCACACGTACTTTCATTTCTGCCTCAGATTTGGAGAGCTTTCTCTTTTTATGGCACAGACCTTACTTAGGATTGCAGGATTTACCTTATATTTCACTAGAATCCAAAACCCACCAGCCAAAGCCAGGGGCAAAAAGAATAGACTTCTTGATACTTAGAGGAGACATGAATTTCTTAAGCCAAAAACATATTCCTGTTGTTTGTTTATTCACGGAATCAGTGTATCATACCTTTCAAAGAAGCACTGTTTCAAGCACTCCCACAGTTCTTTGTGTAGCTGATTGCTGGAAAAATGCAAGCTATGCAGTTTGAATATGCCTGTCCTGTGGTTACTTGAGGGCTGAGGTCCCCATTGCAACACTGATTAGCAATACGAGTCTTCTGCTTACCCCTATTTATTTTTATGCCTGTCAGGGTTGGTCATTCCCCTGTTATACAACTCAGGAATGGAGGGTGCAGACAGCCAATAAATTAATGGTGTATTAAGAAAAAAGCGCTCTTACACTGGTCATAAGCAAATCATAACGGATTAGCTGGATTACACCCAACATTCAATTTCCAGTTTTCACCCAGGAAGTTCATAAGAGCTGAGATCCCAAATAGCTTTATCTGGGATAAATCTAACTGAACTCAGTGGGACTTACTTCTGCATAGTTGTGCATAGCGGTGCACTGAAAATCATTAAGGCAAGAACCCTTTCTTGTCAGATTGTCACTGGTATCAGGGGAATGCTTATTTTGAATTTATTGTAATTGCATCACATTACATTTATACTCCATGTTTCTTCTTGCAAGGATCCCATCTTAGGAGGTTCTCCTCTCACAACAGCCCTGAGAAGTGGGTTAGGCTGAGAGTCTGTGACCGGCCCAAAGTCATCCAGTGAGCTGCATGCTTGAATGGGGACTAGAACCTGCATCTCCCAAATCCCAGTCCACCACTCTAACCACTACTCCACTCTGCCTTTCAGCATTTGGCTCTCTTGATGGGTAAGTAAAGTCATGCAATCCAGCTCAAGTCTGACCCAACACTATGATACTGGAAATTTGTGGGAATCTGTGTCACTACCATCCTTCAAAAATTTGAGCAGAAAGTTGTTCCAATCCTCATGAATATTCAGTAAGAGTACAAACTGTCTA